TCTGAATCATGTGTGAAACGAATCGAGGAGGGCTCATAGCGGAAATTACTGATCAAGCTTCCAGTGTTTTCTTTGCTCTTAAATAATAGTAAAACTTAGGAGTGATATTCTATAGCTTTGCTGAAGAGCGGTATATAACTACGGCTCTAGACCCTCCAAGACTACTGCCAGTTCCAAGCTCGGATAAGGGAGGAGGGTTGTGCATGGGGTTGGAGACCCCATCTTGAAAAAAACTAACTAACTAACCATAAAACATAATTCAAACTATGTGAACCGAGCTCTGGGAGTTAAGTCTTATTTCGGAAGAGTTATGACATCTCATGATAAGATCCAAGTTCTTTCGGAAGTCACGCGGGTCGACGGCCATTCTGAAAACCGCAGCCCGTCCATTGTGAGGCAACCGGAATGTTACATCCGCTATCATACGTGTAAAAGCAAACGAGACCGAATCGGGCACAATCAAATCCTTACGACACCTCTTGATAACCCTCTTATCTCCAAGACCAAACATACTTTTGTTCCTGTCACCTCGCGCCACTGAAGTAAACCTTCCAAACTCATGAAACATAATTCCTGGTATCCTGAAACCCTGATCTAAACCGCATGCCGGAGCATCTAATGTTCGGACCTTGTGTCATAAATGGCAACAAGCTCTATGAGATAGAACTATGGAATCCCGTACCGACGATGTGTGTCGCATATCCGAAACGCGCATACAAGATCCAGGTAAAATCATTAATTTGATTTCACCTTCTCCAGATAGAGAACCAACTCGGTTAGCGCTTCGTGTATCTGGAAGCCCTGATGCTGCTACAAAGGGTCTCACTGGTGTAGGTATAGCATTGAGTTCTAGGGCAGAACTATCTCTCCTAGACTGGATCCCAGTAGATAATCGCTTATGCGCTGTCCGACTGGACGGGACAGTAAGGACTCGGAAAGATAGGGACATTCGCCGTTGCCTCTTCGTCATATCTGCCTACGCCCCCACTGACTGCAGCTCGGACGAAACAAATGATGAGTTGTACAGAAACCTCTCTAAACTTCTTCAAAACGTTAGGCACTCTGCTATAGTAATAATGGCTGGTGACTTCAATGCTGAAGTATGTAGACGAAGTGAAAAGGAACGATAACTAGGTGGATCTTATGGTGTCGCGGCTCAGAAAACAGATAATGGTGGCCGTCTGTTGCAAATAAGATTAAGTAACCGCCTATTTCTAGCAAACACTAACTTTTGGCATAAGGAAAAACATTTTTTGACCTGGCAACCCCCAAAGCCGACCCAGCGCTGGACCCAACTAGATCACATCACCATCGGCTATCATTTAAGAGGCTCTGTTGAGGACTTCCGGCCATTCTGGAGCACTTGTTAAGACTAAGAACCATGCTCTACTGCGAGCGCGTACTTTTTTGCGTCTCACTGGACGTAGGAAAATATCGCAAAGGAACCTCTGAGGGCTCTCCTGAATGATGATAAAGCGAAAAATATATTTCAAATAAAACTAGAAAAGGGTTGGGCAACCAACCATGTAGTAGGAGATGCCCACACTGAGTCAGCTTGGAATGATATCAAAAAAGCTGTGTAAACAGAAGTGATATCTGCTAGTAAAGTAAACCATATGACTAGGAAGCTGTGGATTTCGGTAGCATCCACCGAACTGATGGACGCTCGTGAACACATCCCACCTAACACTGAACATGATAAAGAGCTAAGTTAGCTTAAGCGCATGCTGATAAAAAGCCTACGCAATGATCGAAAGCAGTGGTGGATAGCGACAGCGGGAACGATGGAAAAGATTATGGCGACAGGCAACAGACTGATTAGGAAAAATGGTATTACGAACCCGAATGTGAGACTATCTTGGAAAAGGATAGAACTATTATTCACTCTCAATCCAGGAGATTGGATCGATGGGCAGAACACTTTAGGCATCAGTCCAACTGGCCTTCAGCCACACTTCGGTTGCCCACAATATCCAGTCATCCTGAATGGCAAATCGATGTAAGTCATCCAACTCTTTATGAGGTTGAGAAAGCTGTAGGAAATCTAAAACGAGACAGAGCAGCAGGGCTTGATAGGCTTACCCCTGAGATTTTTAAGGATGGTAGTCCAGTTTTAGCAGTCAGATTGACTAAGATCTCAGGTAGAATCTGGGAACTGGGCATAATCCCATCTGACTAGTCTCAACCACTGATTGTCCAAAGTCGACAAAAAAGGAAAGAAGTCTTCTTGTGACAATCACAGATGAATCAGTTTAACTAATATATTGTCCAAAATATTAGCTTTACCAATACTTCGACGCCTAACTAGAGTTCGGGGGGAGAAGACTACAGAAAACCAGGCTGGTTTCAGACCTGGACGTGAATGTATAGAAAAAATATTCACACAGAGACAGGTCCTACAACACAGACATACATTTCGGCGTCCGACAATAGTTGTCTTTTTGGGCCTTAAAGTGGCATTTGATTCTGGCCATTGTGAGGTTAAATGGCTGTATATATCAATATTAGGTGTACCAAAGAAGTACGTTAAACCTATAAAAGCTCTCTACTCAAACACCACTGGTTGAGTTAGACCTTATGGCAAACTGTCATTGACATTCATCACTTCAGGTGGAGTCCGTCAGCGCTGTCCGATTTCTTCATCCTTGTTTAATTTTGTCGTAGATATGCTTTTAGAGTTAGCATTATTTGCCTCACTTGTGGCGTAGGAGAGATATCCGTATGCTAACCAAAGGACAGGTCTGCTGCACAGCAGTTCGCCCCGTTCTTAGTTATGTTTGCGAAACATGGCCAGTTTGAGTAGACGGTATTCGTAGGTTACTAGCATTCGATTTTCGGAATGTTCGAAGCATCACTCATATATCCATGAACCACCGAGTAAGCAATGCTGTTGTTGGGATACGAATAATAGGTAAGGGTGGCAGATAAATTGGTGCAGCAGTGAGTCTTCACCAGTAGAGGGGGTTGGGATATGTGTTACGGATATGCAACCTCCGACTGCTTTGATGATCTATGTTTTGTGGTGTAGGTTTAGGTTAGAAGAGAAGCTAGGTGCGGCCGAACCAAAACACGGCACAAATCCATGAAATAACTGACAAATGGACTGAGTTATTTTGGTAAGTTTACACAACCTGGTTAGGGCCCGCGAGAATATATCAATCTATGGTTAGAGACCTTGAATGACATGGCTCAACATCTTTTGCAATGAAGCGGGTGCATCCATTATTTGTGTTCTCTCGAATCCCAATCTTCTGCATTCCTCATCTCCTTTTCCTTTTCATGATATTCTATTTCTGAAATAATACCGTCAAACCCAAAAATTTCCGATTACTGCTAATACTACCTTTACTACTATGGGATTTGAAGTGACTATCGCATCTCTGTGCTAATATGGTATGGCAACTTGAACTAATATACGTACGTATGAAGTTCTATGTTGCTGTTGACTAAATAAAGAATAGTATAAGCAATAAATTCCTATCCCATTCTGACATTTATTCGCTGCTAACACTATTCAGGTTGGGATCATAAATCTCGTCAGCATTCTAATCTCAACCATTCTGCAATATGGAAACTACGATATGACACAATGTTTCCGACAAGATTGTAAAATGAGGCTGTATTTTTTTTTACGACCACATGAATTAAGTTACACTTGTTTCAAAAGCCGAAACTACAGAGCCAGACCAACCTCATTCGCAACAACAAAAACATTGAAAATAATTTTCAGACTATGACCTGATGGCGGCCTGAAGCTAAAGAAGCAGTGAACAATTTGATATGCAGAATCACAAATATTTAGTACAATCTTCCTTCAAGGCGCCGGCAAAATCAACGAATTCACGACAGCTTTCTCAAATAGGTCCTAAGCCATACAAAATGTACTAAGAAAGGATACAACTACGCAGAACAACTGGAATTAAAAAGGCAATAATTTCAGAATCTCTGACACAATGAATGGACAGTTTCATCAAGATACAAGAAAGTAAACACTGTAAGACAGCAGGTTAAAAAGGCTAGATTCCCGCCCCGAACTGAATTACAAAGTTGTAATGAAAGACAGACCACAAATGCATTCCAATTGACGGCCGATGAGAGGAAAGGCTTTCTACAGAAAAAGATTCTCTTTCTGCTAGCAGTTAACTGGATTATAAAGAGTTCTAAATTTGAAGAGCAAACAATTCAACAAACACCATGAATGCCGCGAGAGGATTCGTAGTTTGTAGATGGCCCTGACCTCCTATGCGGTACACAAAAATCAGCAAAGCCGCGAATATCACAGCAGCAGACATGGGCATCTACGAAGTAAAAGGCGCAACCCTGAAGTACAACCAAATAACAGTTATAACTCTTGAAGCCTTAGCATAAATTAACAGCATTGTTAATAAACAAAGAGGATTTCATACAGATGTGAGGGCACGATCACAGTCAAAGTGAATAAATTTTTAGAAAAAAGTAACACTGAAATTCCCGAATAATTTGTATGATAATAACCAAGGTTATAGCAACAACCTACAATAACAAAAATATCATCTATTCGTACATCGAATTTATACACGTAACACTAAATATCACATTGAACATGATTACAAACATATTGATACGATTCTTACTTGTGAATTGAGCACGAAAATGGTCTTCACATGAAATAATTGCAATAAACAACTTTGAGATGATAAAATAAAGGACAAAGAGTCAGGTAGAAATCATCATTGGAGAATGAATTATTCAATCATATAGTAAAGCTATCAGATCTTGTACGGGTTCGTTTCCTCATTAAAAAGCATTATACAGTATTAGTCCTTTTTTATTTACTTATTACTTGTTCGCAGAAAAAAAGAAACAGATAAAAAACAGAAGAACAGAAACGAAAAATACTAAGTTCTTTTTTATCTGTTTGTACAAAATTATTTACTAAATAGAAAAGCATATTTTGACAATCATAATGACATGATTAGTCGTAAGTCATTATTATTATTATTACTAAGAATCGTTTTATGGTATCTTTAATGAACATAACTTATACACAAGAACATCGAAATTACAAATCATAAAGATGTTAACTACATAACAAATACAAGATTTGCTTCAATATATATATATTGTGTAAAGAGAATAAATACAAAGGAAACTTTTAATTAATTAGAGAAACCGTATGGAAGACTGAAGAAGAAAAGAAAAAAAGAAAGAGTAATAGTTCAGAATAATACAAAAAGGTGTAGAGTAATGAGTAGTGATAATAATAATATCATACATCTTCAGAAGATCTATTTATATTAGATGTGGAAAAAGTATCCCTGCGTTTAGCACAAACCACTAGATTAGGTGTTTGTGCGATTGCACTTGGTCGAATGACAAAATAACGATTACTCGATAAAATAGGTGTTGATAGGGTGGTGGTGGTAGTGGAGGATGAAGAAGAAGAAGAAGAAGTCAAAGACGAAGAAGACGAGGAAGAAGAAGAAGAAGAGAGCATTAAACTAGGACTAGTTTCATTTGTTTGTGAACAATTAATGGAATGTGCAAATAAAGTTCTAGTTTGTGGTTGATTTAATTGTACATTACGTTGTATAACATAATTATTAGGTCTAGAATTGGAATGTAACGAATATGATGAAATAGATGAAGATATTGTAGTTTGACAAGACTGTAAGGAATTAGAGACATAATATGTATCTAATGAGTTATCAACACAATAATCTAAAACCTGATTTGAAAATCTTGAATTGAAAGAAGAAGTTGATGAAGTAGGATAATTTGATGATAAACCAACATAGGTGCATGGTATGTTTGATGTTATCAACGAAGGAGAATAGACTAGTTGAGGATTGACAGAATTTAAAATATCAACTTTTTCATGTGATTCAAAAATCGTTGATGATGATGACGACGGTAATTTACAATTAAAAACATCTGCTACAGAAGTCACCGGTTTATTTTTACCGATAACTGTGGGTCGAAATGATACATGTTCGTTAGGATTAATTTTACCACCACCTAAAAGTCCAGGAATCGTCTGAAATTGGCCTTGTTGTTGATTTGGCTGTTGTTGTTGTTTTTGTTGATAACGTAAATGTAACAAACTAGTGAGAGCAGGACCTAAACAAAATAAATACAGAAAGAGATTAGTGTACTTATCAATTAGTATAATAGGAACTACAATAAGACAACCATGAAGTAATACTACACATTCGACCTAACATTAGCAGACACTATTTAATTGAAAAAAAAAAAGATGTATAAAGGACAGACGATTTTTTAGATTTTCAATATACTTAAAATGCATTTTCACAACGAGAATAAGTGTAAAATAATTCTAATTTATGCTTTATGGAAAATGTGTAATTGTTGAGTATACACTCAAAGCATTTTTATCAACTTGCACTTATATCAAAACATTCTGTACTTGGAATAATAATAATAATCATAAATCCTGATTTTACTTAAATTTCAAAACTCCGTTTTTAGGAGTACAAGTACAATAATATTGATCATCTTTATATACAGTTGTTTGACTAAACCGGATGTATTCTGAGCTTTTCCGTATACTAGTGGTCTACTGCTTCAATCGCGTTTTTTATTTTTCCTATTTAAGCAGTGTGCTGGATTTACTTGTTCTACATCGAATTCGTACAATGACCAACTGATTTAAACTGCAGCTTTATTCTAATATTGATTCATAACGGTCGATGCATCTTGAATTATTTGGTTTGAATTAAAATCGATGGAGTTATTGAACGCCAACGAAGAGCCTACCCAATTTTCTGTTAATAGAGCGTTGAGTTACACAAAACTACAGCTATTCACCTGGGAACCCATATGAACAAACTGCCCATAAGACGTCTTTTTTTAGTTAAGAACAATTGATTGCAGGTATAATTTTGGTTCAAACACACCGCACAATATATTGACAACTTAATAATTCCCACAAATATATTATGTAAAACAAAATTATTCTGACATCTAACTTTATATACAGAGTCAAAATAAAAAATTTTGAAAAATAATTACGCAACTAATTTAAAAATTATTGCTGATCAAACAGTCAATGATGATTAAATGACTAGGAACAAATATAGGTTAGATAAAACACATCAACTGGAAAATCCGATACAATGAACATAATCAGTGATAATATCAAACAACTTTATAAATATTCAGTAAAATGATCCAACTCACTAAATGAGAAATAATATAAAGAGTGAATGTGAACTCCATGATGAATTAAATTACCAGAACAGGTGTAAACACTTAATCATTCATATTTTAACGTAAAAATCTGGCACATACATGCATCAGTTCAAATTGCTATATAATAATTAGCAGAAAATGAAACTATCAAGCTAAATCCCGGAGTATTAGCAAACGCGTAAGATTTTGAGACTCAAGATATAGGTAAAGACAAAGAATGAATGCATCTGCATCTTGACAATCAATTTTGAGCTATGACATTAACTGCACTAGTTATAGTTAGAATACATTATTCACAACTGTATAGTCTCATTTTCTTTTTACACCTCTTATATTCTGGTTATTCATTGAAATATTTGTTGAATCTCAACGATAGATAAACCAAAGATCGGTTTATACCAGTTTTATAAATCCCATCTATTCTTATTTGCTAGTATCCTATTACCATCTTGAATAAAAACGAGCACCAATAAAATTTATCTACACAGAAAGTAGCAAACAAAATGATTCAAAGTATTCACGAAAATTAAGTTATCCTGGAACTCAGTCACGGATTCACAGGTTTTACGTACTCAGGATCTGAGTCGTACTGTGTGCTACAGCGAATATAAACAAAATGCAGTTAAACCATTAACAACAAAATGGTTGAAATAGTAATATTTTAAAAAAGGAAAATAAATCAACAATCAGAAATTGATTGAATTGAATAAGAAAATAAGATTTACATTGCAACAAGATTTAAAAATAATTGGGAAAAAAATGACAGTAGAATATTTATTGTCTTTAAAAAAATCACACTATTTAAGTGAACTTTTAAATAACAGTAATCAGGTGATTTGAAGTTAGACTCACACACTTTAAAATCGAACATATATCCATATATATATATATATATATATATATATATATATATATATATATATATATATATATATATATATATATATGGATAGTTATCCTATTTAGGTAAACTATTTGAAAGACAATTCCAGTATTCAAAAAAAACTTCCTAATCGAATTAAGATGAAGTGATAATCACTAAACATAAATATAATATGGTAAAATCCTCAGTATCATAGGTATCCACAGATAGGATGTTTTGTACTCTCTCTGCTTCTTTTTTAAATATTCACAAGTTATACAGTTTAATAAAACATCATTTAAGATATTAGTGATGAAAAACTGTTTATTTTTTTTTACCATAAAACAATATTTAACAATAAATAACAGATAATCTTAGACATTGTTACCACAATAGACACTGACTCATATTTTTAGATTTTGTATCTGTATAATGTGAAAAAACAGGCCAAAATGAAGAGTGTTAACAGATAAGAAATCTATATTCAGTCATCTACAATGTAGAACGTCGTACGTACGTACATCAGGTTGTCGTACCACATAAACAGAAAGAGATGGAATTGTTGGTTCAAATCCCATAACAGTGGAGATTATAGCAGTATTAACGGTAATGGAAAAGATTAGGGGTCGAATATATCCCAATGAAATACTTATAAAAATTGAAAGATGGATGTTCTGAGGAATTCAGAGGATTAGAATTCGAGAGAAGACAACGAATGAATGCAGCTGCTCAAATGCAAACGATTTTGAGCCATTTCATCCGAAATCTCTAACCATCGGTGACTTTCGTCTCGCGGACACCAACCACGTAGCCTACATCTACCAACATGACTCAGTTCACTTGTCAGTGACTTCAAGGATATCTGCCATGTTTTGGTTTGGCCGCACCTAGCTTTCTTCCAACCTACTCCTACACTGCAAAACATAGCTCGTCAAGGCAGTCGGTGGTTAGGCATACGTAACACATGTCCCAACCACTTCAACTGATCAATTTCGCTTCTTCGTCTATTGCCATCCCTAGTTAGAACTCGTTTCCTAACGACAACTTTGTTCATTCGGTTGTCCCAGGATACACGAGCAATGCTTCGGAGACATCGATGATCGAAGACTAGTAACCTACGTAAGTCCTCTACTCTTAACGGCCATGTTTCGCATCCATACAGTAGGACGGAGCGAACTGCTGCACAGTACACTCGTCCTTTAGTTAGAAAACGGATATCTCGCCTGCGCCGTAGGTGACGCAGGTTGGCAAAAGCCAATCGAGCCTTCTGTATCCGAGTTGAGATTTCGTCGGTCACCAGGCCATCAGCACTGATCAGAATCCCCAGATAAGTGAGGCGGTCGACACGTTCGACTTCTTCACTCTCTATCACTGGTTCAGGTGCTGATGCAACCCAATCCTGAAGCAACATTGTACATTTCAACGGGGAGAACTGCATCCCGAACATGATTGCATTTATGGAATCAATTAGCCAGTGTGAAAAACATAAAATTTGGCTCGAATATTTACCAATCTAAACTGCTACAACTCACAAATTAGTATCAGATATAGAGAAATTTAACAAGATAAAATAATGTATATTATAACTGAATTAACTCCACCCCGAAACCGTCCGAAGCTACCCATAGTGAAACCCGTAAGAAGGAGTGTTGTGCATGGAGTTGGCGACACCATCTCGTAGAAAGCTAACTCGCTAAAAAAACGCTGATAAGAGAAGTAATTCAAATCATTTAAACTCTACCCTGAGAGATATGACGCCTGATGATGAAAGCCGAGGTTCCTTTGAAAGTCACGAGGCCGATTCACCTTCTGAAAACCAGAGCCATTCTACAGTGTGGGCAGCCGGGAAGTAACATCTGCTATCACACGCGTAAAAGCAAACGAGACCAAATCAGGCACAATTAAATCCTTCTTACATCCCTTAATAACTTTCTTATCTCCACAATCAACTCTTCTTTTATTACCTGGTCTCCTCGCGCCGCTGAAGTGAACGTTTCGAAATATTGTTCCTAGTCTTCTGAAACCTCGCTCTCAACTGCATGTCGAAGCATCAAATTTTCGAATCTTGTGTCATGAATGGCAACAGGCTTCATTAGCAAGAACTCTGGAATATCGTGCCATTGATGTATGTCGCATCTGCGAAACGCACATACAAGATCTAAGTAAAATCATTAATTTGATTTCACCTTGTCCAGATAGAGAACCAACTCGGTTTGCGCTTCGTGTTTCTGGAAGCCCTGTTGCTGCTTCCTGTGGCCACGCAGTAGGCATTGCAATGAGTCCTACAGCATAACTAGCTCATTCACTTGACCTCACCATTTCATTATAAAGAAGCAACTCAATTTACTCTTCGTGTATCTAGAAGCCCTGATGCTGCTTCCAGAGGTCTCGCTGATGTAGATATTGTATTGAGTCGTAGAGCAGAATTAGCTCTCCTAGACTGGATCCCAGTAGATAATAGCTTATGCGCTGTCCGACTGAACGGGACAGTAAGGACTCGGAAAGATAGGGACACTCGCCGTTGCCTCTTCATCATATCTTCCTACGCCCCCACTGACTGCAGCTCGGACGAGATAAATGATGAGTTGTACAGAAACCTCTCTACACCTCTTCAAAAAGTTAAGCACTCTGATATAGTATTCATGGCTGGTGACTTTAATGCTCAAGTATGTAGACGAAGTAAAAAGGAAAGACACCTAGGTGGATCTTATGGTGTCGCGGCTAATAGAACAGATAATGGCGACCGTCTGTTGCAACTATGCTAAGATAACGCCAATTTCTAGCAAACACTAACTCTAAACACAAGGAGAAGCATCTTTTGACATGGCAATCCCCAAAGTCGTCACAACACAGGACCCGACTAGATCACATTGCCATCAGCCACCGATGGAGAGGTTCGATAGAGGACTGTCAATCGTTTTGGTGCACATGTTTAGATCCAAATCATGCTCTAATGCCAGCGCGTATTCGATGCGACTTACTGGACGTAGGAAAGATACCAGAAGGAAATCTATTAGGATCTACCTAATGAGAGCATATCTAACAATATATTTGTGGAACTATCAGGAAAACAGTGAGGCGAACATGTAAGTGATTCCTATCCCGAAGCAGGTTCAGAATATTTCTAAAAGGCTGTAACACAGCAGCGATATCTGCTAACAATGTAAACCACAAGGTTATGGAGAAGCCGTGGATTTCGGTAGCATCCCACCGACATGATAGACGCTTGGGAACTCATACCGCCTGGCTCTGAGAAGTGGAGTCAGCATAGGCGCAGGCTCATAAACAGCCTACACTATGATCGAAAACAGTGATGAGGAGCGAAAGCAAGGGATATGCAACAACAGACAGTTGTTCCGACTTACTGAGGAATTATCGATCCGAATGTAAGTGAGACTATCTAAGAAAAGGATGGTTGTATCATTCATTCCCAATCAAGGAGATTGGATAGATGGGAAGAAAACCATAGGCATTATTTCAACTGGCCTTCAGCCACACTTCGGTTTCCCACAATCCCCAGTCATCCTGAATGGCAAATCGATGTAAGTCCTTCAACTCTTTATGAGGTTGAGAAAGCTATAGGATATCTAAAGCGAGGTAGAGCAGCAGGTCCTGACATGCTAACTCCTAAGATTTTTGAGGATGGTGGTCCAGTTTTAACAGTAAAATTGATTGAGTTCTTGGGTAGAATCTGGGAACTGGGCATAATCCCATCTGACTGGTCTCATTCGCTGATTGTCCCAGTCTACAAGAAAGGACTAAAGTCCTCTTGTGACAATCACAGGGGAATAAGTCTAACTAATATAGTATCTAAGATATTGACCTCAATAATACTCGGACGTCTAACTAGAGATCGTGAAGAGCAGACTAGAGTAAATCGGGCTGGTTTTCGACATGGACGTGGCTGAATAGACCACATTTTCACACTACGACAAGTCCTGGAACACAGACAAACATTTAGGCGACCAACAATAGTTGTTTTACTACACCTAAAAGCAGCATTTGACTGTATTGATCGTGAGGCTCTGTGTCAGTGTTTATCATTAAAAGGTGTACCAGAGAAGTACATCAACCCTATAAAAGCTCTCTCCTCAAACACCAATGGTCGAGCTAGAGCTTGTGGCGAACTGTCATCGGAATTTTTCACTTCAAGTGTTGTTCGTCAGCTCTGTTCAATTCCTCCATTCTTGTTTGATTTAGTCGTAGATATGCTTTTTGAGTTAAGATTATCATCGTCAGATTTTTCAGGGGTGGACCTTCTACCAGGAGGATCACTTATTGACCTAGAATATGCCAATGACATAGTTCTACTTGGTGAAGACGCTGACAAAATGCAGAGTCTGGCTAGTCTAGGTAATACAAGCATTTTCGGTCCTGGAAATGCAAATTATCGCTTCAGGATTGGCTGGCATTGGCACCTGAACCAGTGACAGGGAGTGAAGTAGTCGAGTGTGTCAACCGCTTCACTTATCTCGGGAGTCTCATCAGTGCTGATGGCCCGGTGACTGACGAAATTTCAGCACGGATTCAGAAAGCTCGATTGGCTTTTACCAACCTTCGTCATTTATGGCACAGGCGAGATATCCGTTTCCTAACCAAAGGTCGAGCTTCCTGTGGAACAGTTCGCTCGGTCCCACTAAATGGATGCAAAACATGGCCGATAAGAGTAGAAGATATTCGTAGGTTACTAGTATTCGATCACAGGTGTCTCCGAAGCATTGCCCGCGTATCGTTGGACAACCGAGTAAGCAACACTATAGTAAGGAAACGAGCATTAGGTACGGATGGCAGATCGATTGATGAAGTATTGAAACTTCATCAGTTAAGGTGGTTGGGACATGTGTTACGTATGCCCAACCACCGACTGCCTCGACGAGCGCTGTTTTGTGTTGTAAAAGTAGGTTAGAAGGAGGCTAGGTGCGGCCAAACCAAAACATGGCACAAATCCATGAAGTCACCGACAATTGGACTGAGACATGTTGGTACGGTTAAACTACCCGGTTGGGGTCCGCTAGACGACAATGACGGATGGTAAGCGACCTTTAAGGCATGGCTCGAAATCGTTAGAAATGGAGCAGGTGCATCCATTCTTTGTGTTCCCTCAAATGCTTATCTTCTGAATTCCTCATCACGTTTAACGTTTTCTTTTTAAGTTTATTTAAGTAGATTCTACTTCTTGAATAATATCCTCAAAACCCTCATCTTTCCGATTACTGCCCATACTTCTACTTCCTCTACTATTATGGGACTAGAATTGGCTTTTGCGCCTCTTCGCTACTGTGATATGGCAACCTGAACTGATACAAGTGTGTACGAAGTTCTGTGTTGTAACTAACTGACTGATAACTGAAATTATGGATGATATAACGCTGAAAATTTAGGGGAAAACGAGGAACCAGGAAAATTGACATTAGGACTTCAGGTTCCAATTAAGTTAGCCTTTATACACTTAAGTAACGAGAGTAATTTAATTAGCTCATGGGAATTCGTTAATTTCAATAATCAAAGATTGGTAAAAATGATTTGTCAACTTGTGTTATATGGATAAAATCTCAAGGACTAGTCGCCAGTAAAAACTTAAAAAATGAGGGATGAAATTTATTCCATTGAGTGGAAAGTGATCTACATAGTTAAAACAATTATGGGGTATGCAAACTTCATGAGTTCTTTAAAACGTCACCAAATATTTTCAATTATATGGTGAAAGAGTATGCGATCAAAGTTTGATTTTACGTTCAGGATGAAAATGTCCGAGAACATAAATACGTCTAACTCATAAATTTCACTGATCAGAAAAAACACACATAATCAACAAAGGCTAACACAAAACAAATGCATTGCATATCTAAATATTCATCTTAAACATTATATGAAATAGAAAACAGTGATTAGAAAAAAAACTCTAGAGCTGTTATTTCTATATGAGATAGAAAGTTCAGCATAAAACAAACCTTGAACGGTAGCAGAACCTGAAGGACGATATGATGTTCTAGATGTTTTCCTACTTCGTCCAGTAATGGATTTCTCACGCATATCATTGACAACAACTCGGCCCTAAAACAAATTGGATTGAAATTATTTCAAAAGAAATGTTGTTAAACAATGAAAAAATCATACTTTGACAAATCGAAACTAAAAGTCAAAATGATTTCAAGCATAAACGATTGAAGAGCAATATTTTCAAAGCTTGAATAATGAAATGAGGAAAAATCAGTTTTAGAAAAATTTTTTAATCGTCAGATATTAAACACGTCATTAATACAAACAAAAATAATGATTATCTGTGTGATTATTTAAAAGAACAAGTTGACCATAAAGCGAGTCTGCAGACTCAGCAATAAAAATAACTCGAATCGAATAATGTAGACTTGAAAGATCGCATTACTAACATCCCAACTGAAGTGTATGAAGATGATAAGGAATGAAGTTCGAAATATATAAAATACATATTGACTACAATCAATTCTAAACATTATCATGTCGGAGCCCTTCTAGGGCTGCTGCCTGCCCCAAGTGCGGATAAAGGAATAGTGTTGTGCATAGGGTTGGTGACCACATCCGGTAAAAAACGAACCCGCTTAAAAAACGCCAACCAGGAAAAGTGATTCGAATCATTTAAACTCTGCCCTGGAGGTTAGAAAGTCTTCATTTATAAGAGTTATGACGTTTCATGACGAAAGCACAGTTCCTTCGGAAGTCAAGAGGTTGATGCCCCTTCTGACGACCAGGGTAGATATTAATTTAGATACATGTAATATCCATACAATGGAGACCGGGAGTCATCCAAGTTGCTGCAGAAATGAAACGATACAACCTGGAGGTGATTGGGATCAGTGAAGCACATTGGACGCAGGTTGGACAACAAAGACTATCTTCAGTAGAGTTGCTGTTATACTCCGATCATCGATAAAATGCTCCACATGTACAAGGAGTTGCACTGATACCGTCTATACAAGCACAGAAAGCACAGATAAGATGGGATGGAAGAAAGTTAGGGGCGGCCAAACCAAAACATGGCAGAAATCCATGAAGTCACTGACAAGTGGACTGAGTCATGTTGGTAGATGTAGACTACCTGGTTGGGGTCCGCGAGACGAAAGTCATCAATGGTTAGAGACCTTGAATGACATGGCTCAAAATCGTTTGCAATGGCGCAGGTGCATCCACTCTTTGAGCTCTCTCAAATCCTAATCTTCTGGATTAGCCAGCACCTCTACCTTTGTCTTTCTAACCTTATCTCACTGAATTATATTTTTGAATAATATCTTCAAACCCTAGTCTTCTTTATTAACAATAATACCTCTACTATCTTTATGACTATGGGATTTGATTTGACATTTGCGTCTCTGTGCTAATAATGTGGTATGGCAACATGAACTTATGTACATACGTACGAAGTTCTACGTTGCAACTGACTGACTGACTGATGGGAATCTCATGGACACAGGATCATCAAAGCATCCGTCAAAACAAAGAAACAGGGCATGACAAGGAACGTCATCAAATGTTATGCACCTACCAACGACTACAATGAAGACGTTAAAGATCAATTCTACGAAAGGCTGCAGTCAATCGTCGAGAGATGCTCATCAAAGGATTTGGCCTTTCTGATGGGACGACATGGACTGGGAGAAAGGAACGAAAACTGTGAGATTTGCAAGCCTGTGTGACTTCAAAAACCTGGTTATAAGCACTCTATTACAACATAAACACGTGCACAAAGCAACACGTATTTACCCGGATCAAACTACACGAGACAAAATCTACCATATCTGAATTAACAAAAAGTTCGGAACGACCATGGAGGACGTGGGAATCAAGAAAGGAGCTGATATAATCTCAGATCAACACTTGCTGGTCGCCAAAATGAAACTGAAATTCAGGAAACACTGGAAAACTGGAAAAACTGCATCACAAAAGTTTAATACGGCCTTTCTTCGGGATACCGTAAAACTCAACGAATTCAAGATAGCTCTCAGCAATAGGTACCAGGCCTTGCACGAAATACTCAATAGAAAATAAAAAACCTTAGAGAACAAGTGGAAAGGAGGCAATCACTTCAGCATGTCACGAGGTTCTGAGCCAAAGGAAGTTACTTACTTTACTTTCGCCTGTTACCCCCAATGGAGCCTAGGCCGCCCACCAGTTTTCTCCAACCAACTCTGTCCTGGGCTTCCCTCTCCAGTTCTGTCCAATCTTTGTTCATTCCTCTCATATCTTTCTCTATTTCTCGGCGTAGTGTGTTCCTTGGCCTCCCTCTTTTCCTTTTGCCTTGAAAGTTCCATGTGAGGGCTTGTCTAGTGACGCAGTTGGGTGCTTTTCGTAGTGTATGTCCTATCCATTTCCACCGCTTCTTCCTGATTTCCTCCTCCATTGGAATCTGACTTGTTCTCTCCCACAGTTCGTTGTTGCTGATGGTGTCTGGCCAACGAATACGAAGTATTTTGCGTAGACAACTGTTAATAAACACTTGTATCTTCTGGATGATGGCTTTCGTAGTTCTCCATGTTTCCGCTCCATACAGTAGAACTGTCTTCACATTTGTATTGAAGATCCTGATTTTGGTTTTGTTTGAAAGTTGTTTGGAGTTCCAGATATTTTTCAACTGTAGAAATGCAGCCCTTGCTTTGCCAATCCGCGCCCTCACATCTGCGTCCGATCCACCTTTCTCGTCGATGATGCTGCCAAGATATGTGAAGGTGTTAACGTCCTCCAAGGTATCTCCATCAAGCGTGATTCGGTTGGTGCATGTTGTGTTGCATCGGAGAATTTTGCTTTTTCCTTTATGTATGTTGAGACCTACTGCTGCAGAGGCTGCTACCACACTGGTCGTCTTCTCTTGCATTTGTTGTTGAGTGTGCGATAGAAGAGCCAGGTCATCTGCAAAGTCCAGATCGTCCAGCTGCATCCTAACTGTCCAGTTGATACCGTGCTTCCCTCCAGATGTTGACGTCTTCATAATCCAGTCGATGACCAGGAGAAAGAGAAAGGGTGAGAGTAAGCAACCTTGCCTGACACCGGTCTTCACCTCGAACGAGTCTGTCAGCTGACCTCCGTGTACGATTTTGCAGTTGAATCCATCATAAGAATTCCGTATGATGTTGACTATTTTCTCAGGCACACCGTAGTGTCGAAGAAGCCTCCACAGTGTTTTCCTATCCACGCTATCGAATGCTTTCTCGTAGTCGATGAAGTTGATGTACAGTGGTGAGTTCCATTCAATTGATTGTTCCACAATGATCCGTAATGTAGCAATTTGGTCAGTACACGATCGATCCTTACGAAATCCAGCCTGTTGATCTCGAAGTTGGGCGTCTACGAAGTCCTTCATTCTGTTTAACAATACTCTGTTGAAGACTTTGCCTGGTATTGAAAGAAGAGTGATGCCTCTGTAGTTTTCACACTTGCTGAGATCGCCTTTCTTTGGTATTTTGATCAGGTATCCTTCTTTCCAATCTGATGGTACTTGTTCCTCATCCCAAATCTTCTTGAAGAGAATGTGAAATATTTTCGCAGTTGCTTCCACATCTGCTTTCATTGCCTCTGCTGGAATGTTGTCTGGTCCTGCTGCTTTGCCGCTCTTGATTTGTCTGATGGCTATACTGATCTCCTCAATCGTAGGTGCGCCAATATTAATTGGGAGGTCCGTGGATGCTGCTTCGATGTTGGGTGGGTTCAGTGGAGCTGGTCGATTCAATAGTTCCTTAAAGTGCTCCACCCACCTATTTCGCTGTTCGTCAGTGTTGCTGATTATTTTCTCTTCCTTGCTTTTCACTGGTCGTTCTGGTTTACGATAGTTTCCGGCGAGCTTCTTTGTAGTTTCGTACAATTGTCTCAAGTTTCCTTCTCTTGCAGCCTTTTCCGCCGTCATTGCTAGATAATCCACATATTTTCGTTTGTCAGCTCTGATGCTCTTCTTCACTTCCCTGTTTGCTTCTGTATACTCGGCTTGCGCCTTGACTTTCTCTGCTCTTGTTCGGCAGACATTGATAGCTGCCTTCTTGTTCCTCCTTTCTTGAATTTTTTCAAGAGTACCAACAGAGATCCATTCCTTGTGATGGTGCTTCTTGCGACCAAGGACCTCCTGACATGTTGAAGTGATTGCCTCCTTAATCCCTTTCCAAAAGGAAGTACCACCACAAAAATTGGATCACTGCTGGTACTCTTGCAAAAATTGAAGAAAGGAGGAACAAGAAGGCAGTCAGTCAACGTACAACTTCGTACGTAAGTACATCAGTTCATGTTGCCATGTTGCCAGCACAGAGATATAATTGTCAATTCAAACCCAATAGTAGTAGAGGTGGTAAAGGTATTAGAAGTAATCGGAGAGGTTAGGATTAGAAGATATTATTCAAGAAGTATGATTCAGTGAGATAAGTTAGGAAATTCAAAACTAGAGATGTTGAAGAATCCACAAGATAAAAGAAGCGGTTGGCACGCCCGACTACTTCACTCTCTAACACTAGTTCAGGTGCCGACGTAACCCAATTTTGAAGCAACATTTTGCATTTCAAAGGGAAAAAAACCGCATCCCTAACATGCTTGCACTATTACTTAGACTAGCCAGACTCTGAATTTTGTCAGCATCTTCACCAAGTAGAACTATGTCATTGGCATATTCTAGGTCAATAAGTGATCCTCCTGGTAGAAGGTTCACCCCTGAAAAATCTGTCGATGATAATCTTAACTCTAAAAGCATATCTACGACTAAATCAAACAAGAATGGAGGAATTGAACAGAGCAGACGAACAACACTTGAAGTGAAAAATTCCGATGACAGTTCGCCACAAGCTCTAGCTCGACCATTGGTGTTCGAGGAGAGAGCTTTTATAGGGTTGATGTACTTCTCTGGTACACCTTTTAACGATGAACACTGACACAGAGCCTCACGACAGTACAGTCAAGTGCTGCTTTTAGGTGTAGGAAAACAACTATTGTTGGTCGCCTAAATGTTTGTCTGTGTTCCAGGACTTGTCGTAGTGTGAAAATGTGGTCTATTCAGCCACGTCCATGTCGAAAACCAGCCCGATTTTCTCTAGGCTGCTCTTCACGATCTCTAGTTAGACGTCCGAGTATTATTGAGGTCAATATCTTCGATACTATATTAGTTAGACTCATTCCCCTGTGATTGTCACAAGAGGACTTTAGTCCTTTCTTGTAGACTGGGACAATCAGCGATTGAGACCAGTCAGATGGGATAACATCCAGTTCCCAGATTCTACCCAAAAACTCAATCAATTTTACTGTTAAAACTGGACCACCATCCTTAAAAATCTTAGGAGTTAGCATATCAGGACCTGCTGCTCTACCTCGCTTTAGATATCCTATAGCTTTCTCAACCTCATAAAGAGTTGGAGGACTTACATCGATTTGCTAATCAGGATGACTGGGGATTGTGGGAAACCGAAGTGTGGCTGAAGGCCAGTTGGACTGATCCCTAAAGTGTTCTGTCTATCGATCCAATCTCCTTGATTGGGAATGAATGATACAACCATCGTTTTCCGAGATTGTTTCGCTAACATATGGGTTTCTAGTACCGGGTTCCTCGATAAGTCGGAAAAGTTGTCTACTGTTGCATATCGCCACCGCCCTTTCCATCTCCCGTGCTCCAAAGCTGACTTCGTTCTTCATCATGTTCAGAGCCAGATGGGATAAGTTTTTGAGCATCAGTTCGGTAGGTGCTACTGACATCCATGGCTTCTTCCTAGGCATATGGTTTAACTCAGTAGCAGATATCACTGCTGTTTCCACAGCCTTTTTGGATATCATTCTAAGCTGCATCCGGATGGACATCACTGACCAGATCGCCTAACTGTTTTTCTAGTTGTTCCTGAAATACATTCATAGCTCTGCCATCATTAGGTAGAACCCTAAGAGGTTTCTTTGTGGTGTCTTTCCTACGTCCAGTAAGGCTCAAACAAATACGCGCTGGCACTGGGACATGATCTGAACCTAGACATGTGCGCCAGAACGAGCGACAGTCCTCTATCGAACCCCTCCATCGGTGGCTGATGGCAATGTGACCTATTTGGGTGCAGCGTTGGGTTGGCTTTGGAGGCCGCAAGGTCAAAAGATGCTTTTCCTTATGTCTAAAGTTAGTGTTTGCTAGAAATAGTTGGTTATCTGAGCACAGTTGCAACAGACGGTCTCCATTATCAGTTCTCTGAGCCGCGACACCACAACATCCACCCAGCTGTCTTTCCTTTTCACTTAGTCTACCTACTGGAGTGTCAAAGTCACCAGCCATTATTACTATATCAGAGCGTCTAACTTTTTGGAGGACGGTCGAAAGCTTTCTGTGAAACTCATTTTTAACCTCGTCTGAACTGCAGTCAGTGGGGGCATAGGCAGATACGACGAAGAGGCAACGGCGAGTGTCCCTATCTTTCCGAGTCCTTGCTGTCCCGTTCAGTCGGACAGCGCATAAGCTATTATCTACTGGGATCCAGTCTAGGAGAGCTAATTCTGCTCTATGACTCAATACAATATCTACATCAGCGAGACCTCTGGAAGCAGCATCAGGGCTTCCAGATGCACAAAGAGTAAATTGAGTTGCTTCTTTATAATAAAGTGGTGAGGTCGAAAGCATGACGCTACTCGGATCCTGTATGCGCGTTTCCGAGACGCAGAATACATCGATGGAGCGAGATTCTTAAGTCCTAGCTAATGAAGCCTGTTGCCCTATTTGACACAATGTCCGTACATTAAATGCTCCAACATGTAATTTAGAATAAGGTTTCAGGAGACCAGGAATGACATTCCGTGAACTCGCATCGTTTGCATTAGCGGTGCAGTTTGATAAAGGAATGTGAGAAGTTAGTCGTAGAGATAAGGCGGATGTTAGGGGGTGTAGGAAGGATTCGATTCTGATCAATTTGATCTCGTGTGCTGTTAGGGATATGAGGGCGATTGTCATTTCCAGGCTGCCCACACATTGGAAGGGTGATTCTTGAGGAACCTGAAAACGAAGGTAGATTAGTATCGGTCTTGGAGAGCTGGGAGCGTGATCGCAGAGCCCAAAAGAACACTACTTGAGGCCGATCATGCACGGCCTTCTTATGAAAGGTTTTTAGAGTATTAGCTCCGCTCTTTTTAAAAGCCGTTATTGGACAGCCCTAACCGCCGGAAACGGAAATCCGTCAAGTAAGGTGAGGTGTGACATTTTTAGGGTCGACCTTTTCTAACACTTCTTTCCTTGTGAGAAGGCAGGGTGATGAGGGAGTGTAAGGAGAGTTGGTCGTGGAGATAAGATAGATGTTAGGGGGTGTAGGAAAGATTTGTTTGTGACCAATTTGGTTTCGCGTGCAACATCGCTGTAGATGCTTGTTGTTTGAGGGAAACGCCTTACTGCTATCACACCCCCCTGCAGTCAGCAGTACGACTTCACCCCAGACCTTGAGTTGCTGCTTTTAGTCTCGTCGTTCTCCAATCGACCTGCCTGACATGGTAGAACCTACAGGAACAGATGTTCCAGCCAATATAGCTCGGTTGGGTCATCACGATAGGCAAGCCCGATCACCACGTCAAGGTAGCAGCTACGGTCGGGAGAACAAAAAGGCAGCAATCAGCATCAGCCGAACAAGAGCACAGAAAGTTAAGGCACAAGATGAATAAGCAGAAGCAAACAAGCAAGTGGAGTGCATCAGAGCCGACAAACGAAAATATGTGGAAGATCTTGCAATGACGGCGGAAAAAGCTGCAAGAGAAGGAAACTTGAGACCATTGTACGGTACAGAAAAGGTCGCTGGGAACTATCGTAAACTAGAACAACCTGTGAGAAGCAAGGAAGGCAAAGTAATCAGTAACACTGAAGCGCATCGAAATAGGTGGGTAGGGCACTTCGTAGAACTCTTGAATCGACCAGCTCCACTGAACCCACCTAACATAGAACCATCAACTACGGACCGCTCAATCGATGTTGGCCCACCGACAATTGAAGATATCAGTATGGCCATCAGAAAAATCACGAGGCAGTGAAACCAGACGTGGAAGCAACTGCAAAAATATTTCACATTCTTTTCAACAAGATTTTCGATTAATATCAAGTACCAGCAGACTTAAAAGAAGGATACCTGATCAAAATACCAAAGAAAGGCGATCTCAGCAAGTATGAGAACTACAGAGGCATCACTCTTCTTTCAATACCAGGCAAAGTCTTCAACAGAGTATTGTTAAACAGAATGAAGGACTTCATAGACGCCCAACTTCGAGATCAACAGGCTGGATTTCGTAAGGATCGATCGTGTACTGACCAAATTGCAACATTACGGATCATTGTTGAGCAATCAATAGAATGGAACTCACCACTGTACATCAACTTCATCGACTACGAGAAAGCATTCGATAGCGTGGATAGGAAAACACTGTGGAGGCTCCTTCGACACTGAGGTGTACATGAGAAGATAGTTAACATCATACGGAATTCTTATGATGGATTCAACTTCAAAATCGTACACGGAGGTCAGCTGACAGACTCGTTCGAGGTGAAGAACGATGTCAGGCAAGGTTGCTAACTCTCACCCTTTCTCTTCACCCTGGTGATCGACTGGATTCTGAAGACGTCGACATCTGGAGGAAAGCACGGTATCAACTGGACAGTTAGGAAGCAGCTGGACGATCTGGACTTTGCAGATGATCTGGCTCTTCTATCGCACACTCAACAACAAATGCAAGAGAAGACGACCAGTATGGTAGAAGCCTCTGCAGCAGAAGGTCTCAACATACATAAAAGGAAAAAGTGAAATTCTGTGATGCAACACAACATGCGCCAACCTAACTACTCTTGATGGACACGCCTTGGAGGACGCTAACACCTTTACATATATGGGAAGCATCATCGACAATCAAGGTGGATCCGATGCAGGTGTGGGGGCGCGGATCGGCAAAGCAAGGGCTGCATTTCTACAATTGAAAAATATTTGGAACTCCAAACAAATATCAATCAACACCAAAATCAGAATTCTCAATACAAATGTCAAGACAGTCCTACTGTACGGGGCGGAAACTTGCAGAACTACTAAAGCCATACAGAAGATACAAGTATTTATTAACAGATCCGTTGGCCAGACACCATCAGAAACAACATACTGTTGGAAAGAACAAACCAGGTTCCAGCGGAGGAGGAAATCAGAAAGAAGTGGTGGAAGTGGATAGGACACAGAGAAAAGCATCCCACTGCGTCACAAGACAAGCTCTCTCTTGGAATCCTCAAGATAAAAGGAAAAGAGGAAGGCCAAAGAACGCATTACGCCGAGAAACGGGGACAGACATTACAAGAACGAACAAAAACTAGACAAAACTAGAAAGGAAGACCTAGGACAGAGTAGATTGGAGAAGGCTGGTTGGCGGCCTATGCTCCATTGGGGGGAACAGACGTAAGGAAGTAAGTAACTCTATTGATAAATAATATTATTCAGAATTATCAAGTTTCAGCTGCTCACTATTGTTTATTACTGGTTTAAATAATAACAATTTTCTTAGCGCTTACAGGAATGATTGTTTTATAAATCTCCAAGTCTTATGTTCATAATTTGGATCATATTTATTCCTGTAATTAAGTGAACATTTGGACGATATATACAATGACCTATCATCTCTTTTGCATAGCAGAATAATATCTTTCTTAATTTAAATATCCTTCATTTTAAATCCATCCAACGGAATTATGATTGTAAATAAGTTTTTAGATAAAAAAAAATAGTGATATGCTTTACTTAAAGTTGAAATAGAGTATTTTAAGTGCAAAAACTAGCGAACTAAGCTTACCTGACTTTCTTGAAATCTCCGACTGTTTAAGGGCAAATGTGGAAACAAAGTTGTAGTAGAACCAAAGGTAGATGGGGGCGTTTCATTAACAATAGGAACATGTACTTTTCGAGGTAGATTTGTTTCATGGGAAGAATCATTGAAATGGTCTTCTGAGCACAAATCTTCACTATTGATAAGATTATCCAAACTGACGGTAGCATTAACGGATCCGTCAACCGAATATCGACTCAGTCGATTACCCCAAGATTGTGTAGGTTGACAGGAAGATAGACAATGACGCTGAGCGACATACTGAGGTTCATTTATCAATCTGGTATTTGAATATGAGGTTGATGAATAAGTAGGAGTTTGTTTACGACTAGGATACATGAGAACACTAGATGAATTGGATTCACTAAGATATTCTCCCGTTTGTATTGTGTCTGACCCCACTGGATTAAAGCGAAAGTGATTGATATCAAGGTTGGAGTTGATGGATGAAACTTGAGGGGAGTAAGATAAAAAAGATTCTGCTTGCGGTTTTATATCAATAGCACATGGTTGTGCGATGACAACCGATTTATTTCGTTGGTGTAATCTAGCTGTTAGTTTGTTTGATACATATCTCATATCGACAGGAACATTTGAGTTAAGTGTGTTAGGATATATCGAACACCGACCTTGAGTATCATATGCAGAAAATGTTGTATTATGACGCAACAGCTGTGAATGATCTGGAACTCGGGGTGCTTGATAATTTATTATGCCTTGAGATTCACAGAGGCTTTCATTACTATTTACGTCAGCAGTGAGATCAATCATTGTATTAGGTGTACAAGACGTTTGTACAGACCATGGAAACTGTTGACATGGGGTATTGGGTACTTGTCTGTAAAAGTTAATTATGCAGTAAAAAATTAAGTAGATATCGTCAAGTGTTTTCTAAACAACTTTTTATTTAACACAAATCTTAATAAAGGTTTGCAATAAACATAATAGGTACGAAATTGATTTTGCATCAACCAATGACATTGAACTAATAATGAGAAAGTCAACAGTTAGATAAATTAACAAACAAATTCCACCTTGACAACAGCCAACAACAAAAATTTGCTTTAAAGTATAATATAATAGACAATAATTACTAATCATTCATTTAATATCAATGTTTCACTCTTTAAAAAAAAGAAATCTTAGTTTTTCTTTACTTTTCATAAATTATAAACATTTTTGCAACAGATTCAAGGTGGACAAAGTTAATTGTTAATCTGGCCTCTGTTTTGTAATAAAATAACATCAGCTGAACAGAAAACTTTCAATTTCAGATAAAGAGATGAAGTCAAACAAATAATTATTTTATACGATTAAAAAAAAGTGAACAGTGATTTACATTGCTCACATTTATCCTTGAATTTTGAAAACTTTATTGATGAATATAAACTGACATTATGTTGGAAATAAATTTTAACTAACCTTAAGATTTGTTGTTTCTTCCTTGCTTCACGCATAAGGTAACGTAAATCATGTTGACGAGGGACCCTACGTTTCTCCTCCATTGTATGTACCTGTATGAAGTTATTTAACGTCAGATTAATAAGTATTTAAAAGTTAAAAGATAACTTAGAAGTAATATTTATACTGTTTCAATGGCTGATAGCTACCAGTTTCTTCAATTCAATAATATACTACGGTAAACGCTAGAAATTTTCGTATCTATTTCCACATGTAAATCAGCTTTCTATCTGAACTTCATACATGTAAAATGGTAAAAATTTTACAGCTAACTAAAGTAAACTCATGAAAACACGCATTATATGTACAAGTCTTACCATTTTAATAAATAAAAAAAGGAATTTTCAATATATTTTTAAAGTTATTTTACAATTAAATAACTAACGACTGTTAGGTGATAGTATTCGTTTTCGTTGAGATAAATAAATCTTTTCTCAAAGAACAGTATTACCATATATTCAAACCAATTCAATATTATAATTCGATTGACGACACATATCTACTGATTTTAGTAGTAGATCCATCTCAAAAACAACTATGACACTTGTCAAAGCCAATCGATCTGGTCATACGTTTGAGTCATCATTTTTCCAAACGTACATTTATTCCTAAGAAATTTCTAGGTTTAGATTTATCCTAGCTTATGATGTCAGCTGACTGCATGTAATTACTCGCTTTACAAAACTATTACAATCGATTACGAATTTTATAGCCAACTCAAGAAGTATTGCCTCGGCGATTCATTTACTTTTATCCTCTTTCGATGTTTCTTGAGGAAATGATAGGCGACTGCTTTAGAGTACATACATTAAATACATTAGGCAATAATAAAGGATTGTCGTGAGAGCAAGAGTAATCATAAACATTAATGGACAAGTATAAGTGGCTACCAACCACTGTTTTAAGATTTTTAATAAATATTTTCGAATATTCAAATGCTTGGTTTAAGAGTAATATTGCATATTTTGTGCTGAGAATTCTTTAATTGAATTCTGTAATTCAACGTATGGTGTTGAATAAATCCAACATTATAACGATTATTGTTAAATACAAGTAAAAATGTTACTTTGAATGCCATCTATCCATTAATCAATACAAAGTACTATGCAAGAATAAATCTTATACAGAGTATCATTTAATGGTAGATAATTTTCTTAGTTATTGGGTGATTTAAAAAAGAATATTAGTTTACAAAGCCGAACTCGTAAAAGCTGTGCAATCATTTCGGTGTTAAACACCTGATTATTGAAGGATATTTTTATAAAACTATAAATATCGACTAGGAAATTTTTATGAAAACAAAAATTACTTTCGTAAATAAACGTGTCATTGAATTTTTAATAATTAATAACAAATGCAGAAATGGAACACAGAAGCCCGATAAACTAAATTGAACCGAATGGAAGAAAACTATGATAGAAATAATGGGGAAATCACAGGCATATTAAAAATTACTAAAAATAGATTTAAAAGAATTTTTATTTTGTCCAGAAGAACGTGCTAACTGGGATAAAAAGCTATTAGTCCTTTACAAGCAGCCACATGCGAAAAAAATAAAAAGGGACATACATCATATGATAATGGCTTTGGTGAACAAGTCAAAGTTATGGTACTGTTTGCCGATTGCCTCACATACTTAAAATAAGCATATTTGCAACTGACACAAGTATATTGTTTAGACAAAATATGAACAGTCAAAAGGAAATTCGTAGATTGTAAGTAAAAACAATGAATTAATATCTTGACTACATAAATCTCAAAGAACTTTTGACTAACAAATTAAATGCGGTATATTTTTTCTTATCTTCGTTCTAATTGTTAGTAACAAATTATGGTTTTAGAATCATGATGTAAAATAAATAGTAACACTGTACGAAAAACAATGCCATAAAAATATACGATGATTAAGTCTTTGACTCGTTAAAATGTACTGATAAAATATATAATTCATCACGAGCTTAGATTAGCCTCAATCTAAGTGTGAGAGCCAGTGATGCTACTCAGGTCCCCGAACCGAACTAGATGGAGGGGGGAATGAACCCACGACTTAGTGTCAGAAAGCCAAATGCCTTAACCACTACGCTACCACCCCAGTTTTCTTGTTTAATTTAGTTTTTTAAAGAGTGCAGACAAAGACATTAACCAGTTGTCAACTTTTAATAACCCATATATGGTGCAGAAACACTATATATACTAAGATAAGAAATGTTCATATTTTCTCTAGCTGTATAAAGAAATACATTTCATATCTAGCTAGTATAAATAATATATCACAAGTTTCAATCAAATGAGCAAGGAAATGTACACTTTCTTAGAGTAAAATAATAAAGAGTTAATTGAAAATTCGCAATCAATTATGGTATTAATATGACAATTTAATAACCTTGGTATACAGTATCGAAAGTCTCGACCAGTAGATGTGCAATAAATAAAATAGAAAATATAAAGAATAAAAACCAAATTAAGAGACAGAATAGAAACGTACTGTACACAGAATAGAATTTTTACACTTGATATCATCCATTTCCAAGCAGCCACACTGAGTAAGAGGATCAAATGAATCTTCTGAAAAAAAAATTACATAAATTGATTACTTTAATAAGCATGTATTGGCCAAAACTGTTGTCCAGCTTGATAGAACCCAATAAAAATTTACATAAACTGGTTTTTTGGCAACAAATCATCGAAAATAACTTCATGAAATGTAAGTGTACCAAGTTATGCATTGTAGCTGACTGACTAAAAATGTAGGTTTATTTGCTGTTAGCCATCTTAATGGAACGAAAGTTATGAAGACAAGCGTTTTTTTACCACTATTCAGTGAAAAATAACTGTATGGAAATAAAATGATAATTTCCAATCTCCAAATTGAGGGAAACACGAATAATGTAAAAAAGTTGTGTAACCGCTACTAAGCATTTCTTTCGTACTTCGGTAATACGAAATGCTAAAATTAATAAGCACCGATTTTACAATCGATTGCACTTGTTTAACCGGCCCATCATATCTCAAGTGGTCAACCACCATAACGGAAAAGGATATGCTTTAGACATTTTAGTGGATATGTAATACTATTAGATATATTCGTCAATAGGTTTGCATCTCGCCTGTTTTATCCCCGAGTTAGGAGTGGAAAAACTAGATAATTGTAGATCGAATACGATGTTCACAAAAGTATGGCTGTTACTTACCACGTAATATGAACAGTGATTAAGATTAGTTCCAGAAAATAAAGTTTTGAAAAACAGTGATGTGAAAAGTTTATTTATGGTATTATCTGTCTACAATTCTACTGCACTAATTCTCATGCTATATAAATTGACTAAATTTCGCAGAATACTACGGTAAACAAAACAAATTTAAATCTACCTAATTCTTCCAAGAATTCTTGTAATCCGCCAGTACTTGTCATAGTGCCAGAGGGTCCAGATATTAAAGATTCTGGAGGCCAGTTAACCCGAGACGAACTATCATTCATCAGGTCCAGTTTTGAGGACTTTTCAGGTTGTATTAAAATATTTGGTTGGACGAATCGATCAGTAACACTTGAAGTGGAAGCTTCATTATCTTCCAAGTTGTCTGTTTGATAATATTGTGGGATGAAGGAAGGTGCAAGATGAACACTCTTTATCTGTCTAGAAGGTTGTTGCAATAAAATTGTCTGATTCTTCGAAGTTGACAGGCGCTGAAAAGCCAATAAACGCCTGACATTATCGGCTTTGCGTGTGGCATCTGACGATGAAAGTCGTTCACCAGTAATCCAGCCATGAAAACCATTCCGCCTCAACTCATTATTTACTAACTTACTGTCGAGTTCCTGGTGATACCCAGTTGGTTCGACTTCCCTACTGGGATGCAACTTAGTCAATGCTTCACCTGGGATCAGTGATTGAGAGGAAGTGGAACATAGAGGGACGTGGTTACGCAGACAAACTGTCGGGAGTTTGCACTGAACTTTGCATTTCGCAGTTGATTTTGCGTCTAATATAGGAATTGAAGTGACTATTTTTGTACTATTTACATTGAAAATTGTTGTTGGAAGAGTGTTACCACAATCACTGTTGTGCTGGTCAGAAATACCGATTCCACTGCTAGAACTAGAGTGAGATGAACGCGAAACAGGTCGGTTCACAACGTCAGTACGGAACTGGCCAAAACCAAGTGTTGTGTCATCAGAAACATTTGACGGACTTGAACTTGGCAGATGTGGAGACAATGAAGGTGTTGGGGGATATGACGAACAATGAACAACTGAATGTGCTTGAGAACCGATACCAGAATCGTTAGAATGATTAAAACTTGATCGGCATTCAAATGTATTCTTCCCCAGGTGTCGACTTTCCTCATCTTGACTTTTGGAAGTAAGTTCACAAAAATTACTAGCAGACGAATTCTCCCTTGGACAAACAACCGACCATACTGATCGCTCACTAAGCTGATTTTCTGTAGATGTTTTCAAACGCTTCTTGGAAACTTCTTCGTTTTGAGGTATTCTTCCATCTGACTTTGCTAATTTTAGTAAAACAGGCTCTCTAAGTTCCTCGTGACTAGACTTTTCTGCATCTCGAGCTGTAATGACTGTTTTTGGCATCCCTAATTTAACCGGATATGGTGTGGTATCCGTGGAGTTCGTCGTACTGCGTTTGGAACGTTTAACAGGTGCAACCTTGGTTCGTTTGGAAGTACGATCCTTCTTGGAATCGATTTCTGCCTGACATTCACACCAAGAAACAGCTTCATACGGTAGCACAGCAGAACCAGCGGACTTAAGAGGTTCCGAGTGACGGTCGTCTAGGAATAAATATTACCATTCAGTTTAAATGAAACACAAACCATAATGCAAAGAAATACTCTCAGGAAGAAGCATAACGTTGCATATTTCACATTTTAGAAGATAGTCAATGGAGGAAAATTGGCTTTTTAGGAAAGGAAATTCTGTACAGATTTGTAAGTTTTTTATATAAAACGAACTTACTGCTGAGCTTTATACTATTGAAATAGGCAGAGGGTTCATCTGCAAAACAAACATATGATAATTTCACAAACTGACTAATATTATCGACCGCCTGGTCCAAAATGAAATTTTCCCATGGGTTTTTTAGGTCTGGATTTAGAAGCAGTTTTAAATAATCTTTACCCATTATTTGAGCTAGTATGTACAAATATCTTCAGGAATAATGTAAATTAACTAACAATACAGTTGGTACTTAATGATATCATTAAGTATTAACAACAGACATTTTCAGGAGTTTCAGTTAGTTTAAATAAGGATTCTTTCGTCATTCAATCTGAATTCAAAACTCTTTTGTGTACTATACGAACTACTGAATGTGAACGGACAAATGAGAAACAGCTGAGCAAAGTACATTCATATGCAGCTAATTTCATTGTGCGCGCTACAACTAGTCAGCGCCAAACAAAAAAGTGGAACTGGCTTATTGAGGGATCTACAATGTTATAGAGCACAAAGCAGTATAAAGTGCCTTCAGCGACATAGAATAAAAAATCTACTCTTCGGTCACAAGTTTCCCCAGTTTTTGGTAGTCTATTCCCTTGCGGAGGTGAAGTTTTGCTTTGATATGATTTACATTTCTCTCATTTTTACTCCCTACAAACGCAGCAAAGATACCACATCTGGATAAGAGTTTTCTAATTCGTGCTAAGTTATTGGTTTCCTCCTGTTTATTTTAAGTGAAAGCTAAATTTACTATTGATATTATTTCGTTAAAATCATGGATCGATCAGTGTGAGACCGTCATAAAGAACGAAGAAGCCATTCCATCATAGTATAGAATTCATCAGTAGTGCCTACCCATGACCAATGCTCACGGGAATCAAACCCAAGATCTTCACTCTCGCGCGCGGACGCCTAACATTTAGACCACCAACCCGGCGTCCAACGTTAATGAAGTTTGTGGTGGATGTAAGCGCACCTGTTCTGTGGTTGTCGGTATTCTATATATTCTCAAACTTCTTCTACTGCTCCTCCTGATAACCGCCGTGAATGCGTTTGTTGTCGCACCATAAACTGACCACCAAATCCACAGGCACGCTAAGCAAAATTATATACGAGTGCCAAAGAGTAAGCGAGCAAGCGGGTGAGTGAATGGGCCAGTCCACGAACGGTATTAAAATGAGTATATATATACTAAGGAAAATGAATGAGTCATCGAAATATTTATGTTGCGAACATTAAAGCGAATATAATTAATACGTACTTGGGTGAGGAACAGTGTTGAAACATAACTGTTCATACAAGCAAGACAATAATAACGGCACAATGGTACGGATAGGTTATTGCAATAGGAATGACTCAGTTAAATAAGTTAACCAAAATGGCCCAACCAATTTAAAGAGGACAAACACAAATGTGGGTTAGATTCTACAGGTCTAACTTTATTCAACCTAACGTATTGCGCAACCTCGTCCGTTGTGTTTGACAGGTGACTTCCTATACCTGACAGGGTTGAATTACACTGGTTCACATAACAGATTCACAAAATGACTCCTCTCTTATCTGTTTTATATTTGAGTCATTGATAAGTGAAATTATCGCGATTTAGTTAAAATATCAGCCCAAAACTAATAGAACACATGAAAATTAAAACACTTGGGTGCAGCCTAAAAAAATCCCTTCCAACATCGAAGCAGCACCCACGGACATCCCATCTGATGTCGAATCAACAGTTTAGGAGATCAGCATGGCCATAACACAAATAAAGGATAGCAAAGCAGTGAGACCACACAACATTCTGGCAGATGCACGAAGGCAAACACCGCGACAATTGTGAAGATAGTCCAGATTCTCTTCAGCAGATGAAGACGACCAGTGTGGTAGCAGCTTCAACAGAAGCAGGTCTCAACATACAATAAAGGGTAAAGCGAAATTCTGTGATGCAACACAACATGCACCAACCTAACTACTCTTGATGGACACGCCTTGGAGGACGCTGACACCTTTACATATATGGGCAGCATCATCGACGAGATAGGTGGATCAGATGCAGATGTGAGGGCGCGGATCAGCAAGGCAAGAACAGCATTTCTACAATTGAAAAATATCTGGAACTCCAAACAACTATCAATCAACACCAAAATCAGAATTCTCAATACAAATGTCAAGACAGTCCAGTCCTACTGTACGGGGCGGAAACTTGGAAAACTACTAAAGCAATCATACAGAAGATACAAGTATTTATTAACAGTTGTCTACGCAAAATACTTCAGATCCGTTGGCCAGACACCATCAGAAACAACATACTGTTGGAAAGAACAAACCAGGTTCCAGTGGAGGAGGATATCAGAAAGAAGTGGTGGAAGTGGATAGGACACATAGAGAAAAGCATCCCACTGCGTCACAAGACAAGCTCTCTCTTGGAATCCTCAAGATAAAAGGAAAAGAGGAAGGCCAAAGAACGCATTACGCCGAGAAACGGGGACAGACATTACAAGAACGAACAAAAACTAGACAAAACTAGAAAGGAAGCTAGGGACAGATTAGATTGGAGTATGCTGCGGGATAATATCAGTTAATTTGTAAGAATGAGTGTGAAATATGCGATGTTTCATAAATTTCAATTAGGGCGATAGTACCAGACTAACAAAATCGCTGATTACAAACCGGGCACATTGAAGATTGTCAACATTCTCTCTCAACAACCGACTACATTATCCTTGACTGTACTGAATAAATTCACTGTCAATCTCAGAAGGCACTCTAATTACCAGGAGAATTTCTAGGTCTTCTTGTTAGAATAAAATATCATTCCTAAAATCATGCAAGACGCTAGAGCCACAGGAATGCTAAATCTAATACTCAACCCTGGATAAGTAAGTAACTTTAAGTTTCTCTCAGATGGTGCATTTTGTATTGAGAAACTATGTTATCGCTTATAATCTATGAACAGTCAAACAGACTACAAGCTTAAAAGGATAAACTCAGCAACAATACGCTGTAGCTAGTCTTTGAACTATTTGGTTGTGAATGAAATATAAACACAGGACTACATCAAAACCACCGAAATAATATCCTGTGAATGAGCGGAATGTCTACTCGCTATTCCAACACTCGATTAGACAAAGAAATCCAACTAAACATGAGTTTCCTATCCTTCAGATAAAATTGATGATATTTAATGATAATTTGAACGACAAGGAAGATATATTAGAAGTCCATTGGATGGCTTAAATAGAGCTGGTGATGCAGCGTACAAAACACATATTCTGTGGAATAATCTAACGCAAAATGTTAACCATATTCGAGATAGATGACTGATTTAAAAGCAGAAGCTTCTGTCTCCAACTCACCTTTGGATCACGTGATTATTACAGCTAGGTAGGAGTATAAAATTGGTGCAGAAGGAGTGACAACCGGTAACCGATAAGATTATCGAGAAAATGTCAACTCCTTCAGCACCTTCATTTAAACATAAGAGGCGCAATTAATTTTTCGGAAGGAAACGCCCTACACTTAGCAAAGCAGAAGCGACTAATGGATGAGGCAAATGTTCTAAGATCTTCTTGACAATCGTCAGCTAATGAACTTACAGGCTCCTGGGTAAAGTAACTAAGTCTTCGCCAAATATCCAGACTAATATTTAAGGATTGGAATAAGGTTCTGAAAAAGAGAAATAAAGAGAAAGGGGGGAGGAGAAGAATAGAGATTTTCTTGTTCAGAGACGAAGTATGGCTAGGCAGATACTTTTTTAAATTAGAACACAAACCGAACATCTGAACTTATGTAAGTTAATGAAGATAATTCACTAGTCAGAAAACGAATGGGCAATTAATCGTATTAATAAAAGGAATTCATGAGAACCAAAATGTTCGCAGTAACGTTGATTTACGGAATATAATAATGAAGCACAGTGATCTGATGCTTGATTGATATTTTAGTTATTCTTAATCTTTTCAACTCTGTAGCTCAATATGTCGCGAGAGATCTGCTTGTGATACGATTTTTTGGTAGGAAGTTAACACCAGCACAAGTTTACGAACATGAGTCGTAGACGAGGTTAACATGGTAAGATAACATGAATATCACTGATTTGTTACACCCTGCTATATCGTAAGGAGCCGTAAGCAAACAAAATGTTCTGCCCTACAGTCATGTGTGGAATGAGGTCATCGCCACACCGCCATGAATTCTGGTGAGATACACCACCCTCCCCCCTTTTGTGATGTTAGGCTTTCTTACGTTTAATGGTAGATTTTAAACCATGTTTTCTAGTCTACGTTCTATTTTTTGTACACCTTGCCGGGATGCAATTTCTCTACCAGCTCCACGTTACAAGCAAACCAGACAACTTTGCCTTCTGTATGTAGTACAAAATATTCACGCAGCATATCTGTAGGCACCGTCGTGGTTCATTATTGGCCAGTATTTAGCGAACGATATACCATTTATCGGTTTATAGAGAAGGATTATGTTGTTTTGCAACCAACTGTGCCATAAGGTTTCTACGGAAAGATGTTTGCATCTTTCTGTGTAGTCGAGGTTATGACTGCATCCACGCTGTCACCGTGCGAAGCTTCTTTGAACATCTTCTACTCGTATCTTGTCCATGATGTTCATGTTACAAAAGATAAGTGAGCAATATTCAAGTGAGGGTCTTATACACATTTTGAAGAATGTAAGCTTAGCCTCATTTGTCAAGAAGTTCTTATTCATGAAACCCATTAGCCATTTGAATTTAGAGACAATAGTTGAGGCGTGTTCTTCAAATTTTAGGCATCTAGAGTAATGAATACCCAGATCATGTGCTGATACGAGTGTCTGGACCCTACAGTTCTTTGAGTAGATTAGTATATCATGATGAGACTTACTAGAATACATGATGCCACATTTGTTATGATTAAACGGTAGCTGTCATGTTTCGCTCCAGGTTGTCAAATTATCAAGAGCACTCTGAATCCCTGATTTATTTTCGTCCAGATCTTGAGGCTCATAGCTGTATATTATTTTCAGGTCATCGGCATATAAGTGTGCTCTTCCAAATCTTATAGTACTACATATATCGTTTATGTACATAAGAAACAGGAGTGAACTTACACACTTTCCTGGATAACTCTACTGGTTATTGGTCTTGGTGATGAAAAGCAATCGTTGTATTTAACCAATTATTGGCGGAATGGAGCGAACCATGAATGTAGTTGTTTACAGATTCCGAATGACTTTAGTTTAAGGAGAAGCCTTTTGTGTGGGACCTTATCAAAAGACTACTTAATGTTTAAGAGAAGGACAGATACCAGAAGCCTTTTGTCTTGTTTATGCGTAATATCATTGAAATAATCTAGCAGGCATGTATCATACGACCTGGACCTCAAGAGCGTATGCTGTGAGGTCGCTATGTGATTTTTATTGAGTTGTTGTCCTATTAACTGCAACTTCACTACTTTATTCATCACCCGAGATACTACTAAGATTTGTTTATGGGTCGGTAATCTTCAACATTCGCTGCACGGCCCAGATTCAATTGTTGGGATGATATGTTTAGTTCTCCTGCTATGAGGGTAACACTCTGTAGAGAGTGGTATAGTAAATAGTTTAAGAAGAATAGCACACAGATCATTGCTCTCATTTCTCAGGATACTGGCTGGGATATAATCTGGTCCTTCAGTGTAAGACAGATTCAGTGTACTGATCACCTTAGAAATGTTCTAAACACTAAAGTCAACATTGGCCTTTTCGCGTGAAGAAATTTGGTCAGGTGTGATTCATTTGTTGGGTTTTCGTTCGTTAATGCAGTACAGAATTGTTCGTTAAACAGGTCTGCGGTACTTTGAGGGTCTTATACACGTGGTTGTCCATAATAAATATGCTCTCTCTCTCCACTTTAGAGCATTTAAGTTTGTTTCGAAAGAGTTTAATAAGCGCAGAAGATTCACTATTCATCACAGCAGCACGCTTTTCCTGTGCGATTGCATTTTTAGTACGTATTACCTCTTGCTATACACATCTTTCGGTCATCGTTACTAATAAGGAGAAGTCATTACAGTTATGAAGTCTGGAAGCATGTCTTAGAAGAAGCTATCTTGTATGACCTGTCATATATAAGTCCTCATAAATTCTGAGTCTCCGGGATTCTAAGAGTGTGAATTTATCGAAGATATTATTTGTGATGTAATAAAATACGTTTATCAGTTCATCGGTATTGTCTGCGGTAAAGTAGTTAGTCCAGTCAATGCTTCTGATCAATTCCAGAAGTTTGCCCAATCAATCTTACGAAAGTCCTTCTGAAGTGTAGTGGATTTACGTTTTATATTTGTGGCTCCTATATCAAGGCTGCATATGACAATATTATGATAGAATATTCAGCGCTGCCAAACTTTCATTGACATTCTCCAGTCGACCAGCGATGTCTACTCAAACGAAGGATAAGTTACCTGAGTTGGCCTCCTCTATGTGCATTTACAAATTCAGCTGCTCCTGTGGAGATAGCTATATCGGGCGTACTACCAGGCAACTTACACAACAAATGAGTGAACATCTCCCAGCATGGTTTACGAAGGGTCAGTCAAAAACAATACACGGTTCTATCTTAGCACACCTGGTAGATAGTGTTAACATTGTAGAGAAGTCTAGATTTTTTCGGGTGATCTATCGTATACCTCCATCATTTCCAAACGGACTTCGATCCCGTCTCATACACATTGCAGAAGACATAGGAATACGTACATTCAACCCTAATTTATGTGTACAGAAGAAATTCGTGACACCCCTATCTCTTCCGTGACCGGATATTACGTAACTAACTATGAACATTATATTTTTTATTTCATTTTTATTTTTCCACATTTGCTTATTACGTAATGTTTTTTGATGATTATTTGAATTCTATTCCTCCACCTTTGACCTACTTTAGTTATCATATTTTATAAATTTTCCTACTACTATCTGTTCAGTTATCTGCCTGCTATCCACTTGTACTTTTGCATTTTTCATTTCATTGTGATTATCACTCAAATTGCCTTGATTGGTTTCACATTTTCAAATGTTCATATAAATATTCATGTATATTAGAGTGAGGCCTGATGACGATCTCATTGAAAACAATATTGTTCGCTTATATGTGTTGTTGTAACTTGGGAAATCAGTTATAACGTACATAGTATTAGGAATGAGATTGTTGGTGAAAACCAATCCAATGTATTTTGATATCTCATTTTGCCGTCAACATGTTGAGTCGACTCTCCAAGCTCTAAGCATTCAATAAATGATTCAAATAGTTTAGGTGCTTTGATTTTGAACCAAGAGATTTCATGCATGTTGAAGTCTCCAAAAAAAATATGCAAACGGTAGGGACAAAACAAACGTGAATACTTCTGACATATCACACAACAGTGAATTTAGGCTAGAGTGCGCATATATGAGGCATCCTCTACCTTTTCTTTATAAACAATCACTTCGAAATAGATCATAGTTTTCGAGAGATATAGTTAGATAAGAAATATTTTTGGAGTTCCATGACTCACTTATCATTAAAAGTGATGGTTACCAAATATAATTAGGGAAAAAATATTGGATAGTGAATTTGTTTTGATGTACTTTTTCGATGCGTTTCCATAACGTCTGAACGAGGTAGATCAATTACATTTTGTGAAGTTTCAAAATTTTAGAGCTGTCCGCAGTCACACTAATTTGCAAGTTACCCTGGAACAGAACGGGTCGCTGCATATCTAGGATCCCGCCAGGATACAGAAGTCTATGAAGCAATACGTACTCAATTTTAGCCATTATTGATGTAGCACAAGCACTGGGACGTTGATTTATTAAAGGGGTTACAGTTTAGAATTCTCAACATACCCGTTCTAAGCTTCACCCTCCAGATTAATTAAATCTAAATCTTTTGTAATCACTAACTGCTTTTTATCGCTATTCTTATCAAATGTAGGTAGATTTTATGAGCCTTATACGTCGTCAACTGACTTCTTATTTTGTCCTGATTTCCAGTTCTCCACATCCATGCTTCTGTAGTAGACAAGTTACTTTTAGGCTGTGAGCAAAGCACTACATTATACGATTAGTATAAGAAGTCTAGATACTTTGGTTTGTATATAATTGATTAGTTGAAACAGTATGTTTGATCGACCTGTTATAGTTGGTTTTATATTTATTTAGATCTCAAAATTGCATTGTGATCTGTATGTGGGCATTGATAACCATCTAAAACTTACTAAGTAACAACTTTTCGGCGTCTTCATCTTATAACACGTGGTTATTGGAACAGGCAACACTAATTAACCTGTAGTGCGTGTACATTTATATCGAACCCACAGCGCTTGTCTTAATCTTTGGGCAATTTGAATATATTCTTCTCAAGTTACTCTTACGTCTCCGGACCTTGCCAGCTATTCGCTTTTATCTTGGTTGTTTTTAATCGAGAGTGTGTACCGCTTACTATATATCATGCTCATTTTGTCTGACTATAAACGCTTCGTTAGATTGAGTTGGTTCGCTCGCCTTCTCCACTTCGCCTTTTAATCTCGTCTCTGGTTAAACGAATGCATGAATAAACTCATTCAACCGAATTCGTATTTGACTCCTTACTAACGCCGTCGCACAAAATGAATCCGCCTAAGTATGAGATAAGGTAACAGAAGGGGCCACTAAAATGGTTTACCCTACTTCAAATCTAACGCGGCTCACCAAAGACTGTTACGAATACAATTATAAAACTCCATTTGACTTTAGTGACATATATATATATATATATATATATATATATATATATATGTATAAACTGCTTTCAGACATGAAACTCTATATATCAAACTCGTTTTTAGTATTTTTATAACTGTAACCCGAATAATCCACTTTAGATTCATTGCGCTAACGAAAATCTAGATCATCCATCAGAACCGTTTTCGCTATTAATTTAAAAGTGATAAATGTTGATATTTTCTATGGACCAGATGTAATTTGTAACATTAAAAGTCATGAGAATATATTTGTTTCTACTATTCTTGCAGTGAACCAAGATTTCTCGATAAGATGGATGTTCGGATCAAATATCCTTTCAAACACTTCTTGAAAGAAGGGACTGTTTCAAAGGTATGTCATTACTTCTAGCAATCGGGTGCGCTAATTAAAATACTAGAAAAGAAAGGATCGACTTAAATAAAGACCTATGTTACTAACTCACACAGTAGTTGCTGATGTCATAAATATTAGAGAATGTAAAGTCACAGATCAGAGACCCCAAGTTAGGAATTGTTGTCTTTAGAAACCAGTATGTATGATATATATAAGATATAAAAAGTGAAGATATACCTATTATTTATCAATTAAAGTTTTCAACATTAAGCCGTTCTAGATGTACAGTCAATGAGGTCATAGATTTGCTATAACATATATATATCTCCAAATCAAGACGAGAGATAATTATAACATTCCAAGCGGAAACAGAGAGCGTAATAACGGTACAACCTAAAACATCGAATATAACCTAGTAACTTTTTACTTCCCAGCCTATGAAAAAAAGAATCGAAGTAAACAATAGTACTCCAACAGATATCACGGGGTCGAAGGATGACGAAAATGCTTTAACGACATCAAGCGACAATCAAAGTCACGTTAATTATAGAAAAAGACTATGGATAATGAAAAGGTTAGTTTAGTCTATATGCTTAACCCATCTTAATCAAAATACTGAAGAGATTATTAATGTTTTAATACGTATAGAAAGCCAACATTTAACAGGCATCCCAATTCAAACAGAAATATAATTGAAGAAGACTGTTACGGAATACAACCAGGTTAGTTCTGTAGTTACTCAATACTGAAGTAAACCAGCAATCATTATATTCATAGTATCAGCAGTGCCTATTGAAGTGATAAATAAAATCTTCACCAGACTTACATTCCCATAATAGTCGCTTATTATAATTATTGATATTTAATTTATAATTAGACCCGAAATAAGCCACGAAAGTAATTGATTTTATGATGGATGGTTGGGAGATTTGGAAGAAAAATCTGTAACTTTCATGCCATGTTCATCAATGAATTATGATCAAAATCATAATTGAAGTATAGCCGATCTGCTGCAGAGCTAAGATATTTCCAACAACTGATCATTCAGTCAAGACAATTTTATTTCTTAATAGTCCTAGCTGTTAAGTCTTATTACATTCACTAATCTAAGTCACTGAACACAGCGGCAAACTTTGTCTGGGGATAATAAGTTATGCTCAATAAGTGCTAACAACTAAATAACATGATACTGACAACTAATAATTTACAAGTTTATGACGTATTTACTTGTAATACAGTCACTCAAAAAAGCGATTTTAACGAAAAATATATCAGCGTATAAAGCAATAACCCGAAAAATTAAAAGTTATTGACGGATTTAAGATTTACTTGATTAAGAAGTTATAACTGCTTCATGTTTGCGATTTATGTACCAGGCGAAAAACGACGGTCTACTTCTGTGATTTATTTGTAAGTGATAACTATGATAGCAATGAAAAATAAGACTCATTGTATAAACTCCCGAAAATGTTTATTAAATAAATATAAACCTATGACGCGACAGTGTCCATATTGGGAGTTTGTACAAGTTTCTTGAACTGATTGGTTACTATGCGCACTCCAAACAAATTAGAAAAATAGAACACTTTAAGATGCTAAGTGCTCTGCATGATATTAAGAAGCTCACTGTAGCTGCAAACATGATGTCGTGGTCACATTCGTATGTCGTGATGACCGAACTGAGCCATGCTAACTGGAACATTCGTTTCTATGGGTTTTACCACATTAGGTTGGTTAGAGAGAGGTAAAACTGAAAGCAACAAAACCATGGTCCAAAAGTGAAGTCAAACTACTGACAATATAGGGATGAAATGGCAGTAAAGTGCTTTCATCAAACAATCACAGTCATCAGTGATTCTGACAACCCTATGAAGGGCTGGCTCGAGGAACAGAGCATATCACTTTCTCATAAATTTCCGTCGACAGGTAGTAGGATTAAGAAAGAAAATGGAGAAATTCAATAAGATTATTTTACTTTTCCAAGTTAGTATATTGATAATAGATTACTTGGTTCATGTGGGAATTCTCAAAGTTCTAGTAAGAAGACGTGACTAAACTAATGGAGTTGAAAACTGTGTTGGGTATGGGGTAAGCAGTAACTACCGCAGACGAATGAGCAAGGTTGTGCAAAATCCTTTGATTGATCAAAGTTCCACATTAACACCGTTGGAAGCTGGCAATAAGAGTTCGTACACTTTCCCTGGTTCATCTGACGAGGGAATCTTCATAGTAAGTGAGTATGATAGCAGACACTCAACACTTAATTCAGCTTATAGAAGGGTTAAGGCCTTAAAGTACGGAAGTAATTCATTTAAAACTTTTAACTTTGGAATTTGTATAAATCACAAGAGATTGTTACGAATTTGACAAAGAAGAATGTCCATTTCATTGTGATTTTTTCAACTAGTAAGAATTATTTTCACATTAACCCGCTTGTTTCATTTTTCCTAATTGTGTATTTACACAGGTTTGTCACAAACTGAGATAACTAAAGAATTGATTCGATACGCGCAAATGATTAAAGAAATACAACAAACAAACCCGCAGCTTTTCCTCCGAAAACATCAGTAGAAAACGCATTGTGAAACAATCCACATACGTTGAAAATGCTTAAAACTACATGCAAGAGGTCGTTTGACCAGCTGTTCCTCTTTAATTATTTATTCATCGGTAATTTATAACGCAGAAGGCTTAATTTTGAAATAGCCGATAATAGCAATATCAGTTTCTTAGTAACCAGACTTTTGTGTACATAACTAAATTATTAACTACTTCAAGATATTACTTCACTTCAGGCCTATAAACTTCGGCCATATTTTTTAATATCAGTTTTTAAGTCATAGCTACATGAAGTTTTACAACATAAGTTTCCACCCAAACTCAGGTACCTTCAATTAGCCGAGGCAAAGTGAGGTTACAGTAATTTATACACAAAACTCTTCTAGTGAAGAAATACATTGTGTATTAAAAGGAAGGTTTATACAATATAATGACAAATAAGTGCCTCTTCACTAAACTCCTCAGCATTCTCTTAATTCTTCGAAAGTTTGTTGACCATTTTCCTTAGAGGTTGGCTAAAAAACTCCTAAATGATGCAACATAGAATCTGCAGTGATATCATTGTTTTGATATTAAACAATACGTTTTTCCAAACATTACACGAAATCGTATGTGTATACAGTCATGTTGTCGATATTCTCAATGATATGGCGATCAATAAGTAAACCTGATAGTTAAGTGTTAATTTTTCTGGCGGGTGACAAACTAATATTTGTTCGCAATATAAATGAATCTTTTCATACAATGCATTTTGAATACTAATGTGTAATTCTCGTGTACAGCTTCTTAACTAGCGGTTTACCATTCCTAACGTCCACAATTGTAGAATTGGCTTCAGCGTGCGTATTTTCTAAAAATGATTATCACCCGACCACACAATTCATGTCAATCAGTCGCGGATTCACACAACTATGTAATATATCCCTTGCTTTGCACGTAGATATTGGTAAAAGAAGACTATTGAAATCAAATATACAGGACTAACTAAAGTCACTTATAGACAGAGCTCTCTGCTTGTTAAGTGTAATCACTGTTACCACAAGTAGCTAAAGAATATCAGTAATATCTAGAAATAATTTTGTACTATTTTCCTAACCTTCTGAGTGATTGTATTCAAAAATAGTATTGCATTTCGTTTAAACAAATGAAAATTACGTTTAATAAAGTTGTACTTAATAAAATCTAATGATTTAACACAAACTATGGTTCAATACTATATAGATAGATGTATACCAGGTTACACAATTCGTTAGGTTCACCGTATAAAAGAGAAAAACAGTTGGATATCAATAAAAAAGGAATTATTATTCACAAATTATTCCAAGTCAGCCAATGATAATCGGGTTTTTACATTTAAACAAGCTAATTCGTACGTTAGATATCTAAATGCAGCTGGAACTTGAACGTATTTAAGAGAACTGTCTTTGTCTCCGAGTATGCAGCCATTGCTATCAGGTTCACATAAACGACAACACCATCGGTTTGTACCTGAAACAAATGAAGATGAGTTGTCTGAGGTCATTTGGTTCGCACTGGTGTTAGTGATATTTCGCACCAAGTCAGAATGCGTTAAACCACCGCATTTGGAACAGGCAAGCATCTTTGGAAGAGAAAAAATTACAAAAAAGCATTTAATTTTAAAAATCATCGAAAACAGTGGTGGTATAAATTTATGAAGATTTACAAGTGACGTAATTTGATAACAGCCAACCGCTTAAGACGGTCAGAAGAGATTGCATTTTTGTGTAGGCTTTACCGAATAGAGCTACATTATCTGAGTATTGTAAGCCAACAAAAGAATCTCCCGGTAAAGGACTGATTTTTTAAAGGTCAGACAATGACTACAATCTCCAAAATAAAAGGGAGGAAGTGGATAACCTTGATGAACCAAATTTAGAATTATTCCGATGACTGCTCATCATTTTTGTCGTTATGTTTAAGTTTATGAGTATTTTTTTTTATGAGACGCAAACACTCGCTAATACAAAAGCATGATCAAAGTATAGATATGTATCCAGAATGAGCGACAGTTTTCTATCGAGCTTTCCCAACGGCTGCTGTTCTCAGAGTGAATATTTTTCAACCCAACAATTACGAAACCGTGCTTTTTTTTTATAAACACCATTAAGTCCTCATTGATTCGATTGTTGTTCCTTTTAATCCATGCTTAGTAAGCACAACTTTTACTGTTTCATTTTTTCCAATAGACTGTATTAACTTGGATTAATTGTAGTAATTTTTGTTTTAGAAAGAGATTACAGCTTTAACGACACAATTTAGCTGTTCTGAATTTAGACCAACTGCATTATTATGTAGGAAATCCCATTACAAAATACAGAAAAACTTTAATTGTCACTTTATTATTATAACTACTGTAACTTATTAGGAAAATGTTTACCTTAACTTTATCACAGTTTGAATCAACTAAACGATCTTGTAAACTAAAAATTAGACCATGTGATAACAGACAGTCACGTTCCATTTCACCAAGACGAATACCACCTCCAACTTTACGACCTTTGATTGGTTGTCGAAGTATTGGATCGAACCGACCTTCAGCACGAACCTAATAAAAATATATTTACAAAAGTAACTGTCAATGTATTCAGTTAAATATTAAACTCTAAGAAATATCTAGATCACATGAGGAATTAGTATGAAAAAGTGAACTTTTCAATCCACATTTCTATTCGATTGAAATGAAAGTACACCGAACTTTATACACATTAAAAGGATCCAAGCAATATGGTTAGATTTCAGAAGCAAATTACTCAACCATTGTCAACTCATAATGCTTTAAAGGAACACAACGAGTCAACAACTCTAAAAGTAAAAAGTATGACATATTAAACTGAAACACACTTGAAACATATCGATCATTAATGCAGTGTTATAAATCTTATGTTTTTCGATAAAAATCTAGAAGTTATCTTATTTACTTTACGAATTATTTTCCCCATCAAATTTAGTTATGAACTATAAATGGGAAAGAGTAGTGGTCAGTCTAATTCTTAACCTCTAAATCAAAATTACACTTTCGGATTGTAGTGTAATTCAATATCTAACATATAAAATCCATAATACTTTATGAAGCTTGAATTTAATAAACAGCATTCAGCCAATAAGATTCCAAATCCCAAACTTTGGTTGATTTAATTAAAAATAATCATCTATGTAACCAGGTCATAAACATTTTTCTACGGTATACAGTGGAATGAATTATTCTGATATCTCAAAAGAGTGATGATCGAATTTACTGGGTAAAATAAATTATTCAAAACAATATTATATCAATATGAACAGAATATACAAAGTAATCAGTCCTATAATGTTTATCCAATATATATCCCTCATACTTGATATTTATCTGCTACCATATGTCTTAAACGTTGATAATAAACAACTCCAACATATATTTGAGCTTCCAATTCACGTCCAGTTGATCCAGACATCATTGTCTCTGTACCCCAATGATTGAAGCCGCAATCGGTTAATATTTGACAATAATCTTCATAAGGGGGTGAATTCTCTGACCATTGAAATGGAGTTGCATCAACTCGATTACCTAATCAAACAAATATAAACAATTAAGCCTAAGTGTAAAAATAGATTGCAGATAGTATGTAGGACGTGCTGTTATTTTGTTTTAAAACCTTATAAAGTGATGAGGTTTGACTTATTTAAGAAACTGTGATATTATTTTACAGACTGTTAATCGAATGAAGTCCAAACAAGTAATTCAGTCACTTAACAACATTGTAATTGTTGCTGTCGTAATTGTGATGCTTTAGGTAGTTAATGGATTATTTAAAGTGAAACAAAAAGGGGGAATAATTAACAACACACAGAATCAAGTTACTAGACTGTTGTTATTGAAATCTAGAATTAGGAAAATTCAGAATCTGATTGGTTATAAATAGGCGACTAATGATAACTGATGAGGTTGTATCATTTTGAATATGAAGAAAAAAGCTTTGCATATGATTTATTCTTTAAAATTTCACATTATTTATTTGCATCAACATGATGCTTAAGTTTAACATAATGAAAAGTTAAACAAAACTCCATATGTTGTGGGTCTATTGTCTCCAAACATCCATTTGCAATGCAAGCAGGTTTATAACTGTCTTCTCCCAAATCTTTTCTAGTCCTTAATACACTCTGGTCGCGTCATCTATTTCGACACCCAGACAGTCCAATCTGGTAGCAACCTCTAGACGACACTGCGCTGCATACTACTCATATTCTGTCTTGTGAGTAGCAGACACCACAGTGTTAGAGAAATTTCAAATAACCAACTAGATAAAGAAAACGTACAAGGTTCATTCAAGCAGCTAAACTAGTAAGCTCTATTTGCATAGATGGCTTGCAAAAGTTTTTATAGTCTGTATATAGTGCTGATTAGGAATTTATATCATTATAGTCAGTTTAAAAGAAAACATATTTGCTTAAACCGTTTTCTCAACAGGGTATTGGCAAACACATTTGGATTTTAGTAAAAAAATGTCTCGATGTATATGATAATTAGTGACACTATTCAATTACACAAACCGGAGTAGGGTACAAAATAACAATCCAGTAAGTTGAAAGCTAGAATGTCTTTAACGAGTAAGTTGCCTTCTCACCAACCAGATGACCCATGCTGTATTACATTGCCAGGAAGTTATAACAAAAGGAAATACAAATACCATCAATAAGCAGGAGATTAATTATAAACCAGAGAATGGAAGAAAATGAATTCTATTTCACCTGTTAATGCAGCGGACTTGCCAGCTAAGAACTCAATCATCATACCCATTGTCATTCGAGTTGGGAAACCGTGAGGATTAAATATTAGATCAGGAATAAGACCATTTGTAGTAGACCAAGGCATTTCTTCACATTGAATTAACAGACTATTAATACCTTTTTGACCATGACGGCTGCTATACTTATCTCCAATATCTGGTTGTCTAGGCAAGCGAAGTGTAATTGTAGCCTGTAAAATCAATGAAGTAAATTGAATTTTACGAACATATACAGCAAAAAAATTAGAAAACAACAATTACGAAGTATCAGTAACGTATCTTGTAGTCATATTTATACTGAACAGTGAGTAAACAATAAAATATTCTGTGGATGTCTTAAGTATTAGAGCTAGATGATACACGATGATTCAGAGAACAATAAGGTGATTTCAAAGCTATATATGAAATACTTGAAGTGAATAGGCATACAGACTGTCATTTA